GTTCAGAGCATGGGCTTCAGGTCACTTTGCCCCGAGTTTGGACCCTGGCTCTGCGGCTCAGTGGCTGAGTGACCTCAGCGGGTTTCCTCGGCCTCTCTCAGCCTGGTGCCTCACCTTGAATGATGGAGATGGATTCAGCTTGCCTCATTGCTGCCCCCAGCACGGTGGTGAGGGTCCGCTGAGGACACTGTGGGAGAACTCTGGGCCTGGAGCTGTTGGAGTCAGACCCGGTACTGGGTCCCTGCAGGGCAGGGGCGAGGAGGGTCAGGCTGGGCAGAGCAGGAGGCCTGAAGACGTGGGGAGTGGGGTTGGTCGGTGCAGGAGGAGCCGGGGTTCTGCCTCAGAGTCAGGGTGGAAGACTCTTCAGAAGGAAAGACAGTGTTTGGGGCTGGGAAGGAGAGGCGGGCAGGAGGGAGGGAAATGGCGCAGGTCCTGAGGGGCCAAGGCTTCATGGAGAGTTGTGCGGAGGGGACAGGTGCTGGGACAGGGCTGTGACTGGCCAATGTGGGGACCAGGCTAGGAGGACTGCAGGGGTATCCCCACAGGGCCATCTTCCCCGCTCTGAGGGACTAGCTCCTCCCTGGTTGGCCTCTGGGAAAACGATGGGTCCTCCCTAGGTGGCCGCTGACGCCCCGCCCAGCCCTGCCCTGGTGGGAGGGGGAAGCGCCTCCCTTTCATCTTGAGGGTCTCAACCAGAGCCCAGAGTGGTGGGCTCTTGCCAGAGGAACCAGCCCTGCTCGTCCCCCTTACTCTCCTGCCCCAAGAGATGGGGGATAGTGGGTACCAGGGCAAGGTGCAGCCCTACCAGCTGCCCAGGGGCCCAGCGGCTCTGAAGGGGCCTGTACACAAATCCGGTTCTTTCAGCAGCGTGGCTGGCCTCCCCTTTAGCCTTTCTTAAGTGCCTGCTGTGTGCACCCATTTATTGGCACCGAGGCACAGGAGGGAGGGCAGTGAAGGCGGCAGCTGCTGGCTCCCAGCCATCACTTCTTTCTGTGTGATCTGGGCAAGTGAATTGTTCTTCCTCTCTGAGCTGTGCCTCAGCCCCCTCCTGAGAGGATGGTGTTGGGGGAGGTATGATCCTCAGTGAGTTGCTGCCCCCCTCCCATGAGACTCGGCCCTGCTCCCACCTCAGTGAGAGGAAGGGAATCTTTTAGACTTTCTTTCTTCCTCTCATTACAGTACTGGGAATTGAACCTAGGATGTTCTGCCACATCCCCAGCCCTTTCCAGTTTTTATTCTGAGGCAGGGCCTCACTAGGTTGCTGAGTCTGGCCTGAAACTTCCA